CTAATTCCTTTCTCCATCCATGACAGGCAAGTAAGACTATAGAAAACCTAAAAGCCTAATTAATGGGAGATAAAATTGGTATAAACCAAACTGAATGCTGAAAGCAAAATGAACACCTTTTTAAGTTCCCATTAAAAAATCCACAAAGCTCACAACAATTACCATCGGTTATATCACAAAGAAAGCTTCAACAAATTCCTAAAAAGTAGAAATGATAGACAAGATTCTCTGATCATAAAAAACACTACCACCACCCTAGAAGTAAAACACAAAAGCACCCACTATTTGAATGGATGGGTGGGACTCAAATGAATCTTAGGTTAAAATTTAAAATATCTAGAAAATAATAATAATGAAAATACTACACATAGCTCAGCAGTGCTCAGAGACTTTTTAGCCTGAATTTTTCCTTTAAAAAAAAAGTAATGTAAAAATGTAACTCTCTAAGGGGAAAAAAACCTAAAAGCTGAAGGAAGGTTTTAATAAAGATAAAAGCATAAATTAATGAGTTAGAAACCAGAAAAGAGCAATTACTAATAAATAAATCCTAAAGATGAATCTCTGGGGAAAGGGGATAGATAGTATCATTAAGCTAACTAACCTAATGAAGAAAAACAGGAAAAAGAGCACAAAATAGGCAATATAAGAAGTAAGGGTGAACTCACCACTTAAGAGTTGTAAAAATTATTTAGTTCAACCTAATGCAAATCAATCTGAAGACCTGGATAAAATGAATACTTTTCTAGAGAAACATAATTTACTAAAGTCACCCAAAAAGCAGAACAATTAAACCAATTATTAGAGAAGAAACAGCATTATCAAAGCACTACCCACTCACCCCAAATAACTCCACTAGCTCAAAGAGTTTCATGGAGCATCACCAAACTTTTAAGAACAGATAATTCTATGTCTATTTAAACTATTCAGGCAAAGATAAAGAAGGAAAGCCTCGATTTTCTTCATGATGTGAGTATAACATAGCAAAACCCAATCAAAATTATTCCAAAAAAAGAAAACCAAAGAACAATCTCTTTGATGAGACTGAGGTAAAAATACTAAATAACAAATCCAACCCAGCAGTATAGTATAAAGAAGTATTCACCATGACCAACTGGGGCTGGAATGCAAGGATAGTTCAATATTAAGAAATCTATTATTATTCATGTTAATTCACTGATGGGAAAAATGTGGTGATAAATGCTGAAAAACCTTTTGGCAAAGTTCAACTTCCATTCTTGACTTTTAAAATCCTCAACAAAACATCAATAGATGGAGAGTTATTTAACCTGATAAACTATCTGCCCCAAAGCCAGAATTTCCTTCATGGGGAAATCTAGAAGCTACAAAGAAAGAATGTTTATTGCCACTATTATTTTTTCATTGTTCCAGGAATAGTAGCCAACTATTAAATAAAACAAATTAAGGTATAAAACAAATTAAGGTATAAAACAAAGCAGGGTGTAAATTTATTATCTGTAAATCATACAATAGTATAACTGAAAAACCCAAGTGGCTAAATTGAAGAACTGTTATGAACAATAAAAGAATTCAGTAAGGTGGCAGAAGTTAACGGCCTTCATATAACCAACCTTCATTTGTGGAAGAAAAGAATAACTAAAAAAGCTAAACTATCCAGAAATAAACTTAACCAACCAAGGTTCAAGATTTCAACCAGGCCAATGTTAAAACATTCCTGAGAGACATGAAACAGAAGTGTATCATATTTTGGTGGGAAAGGCAGCATCATAAAAGTGTCATTTCTTCCTAAATTCATCTGTAAATGTAATGCAATACCAGTAAAAACAAATAGGATTTTTGTTTTGACCTAGATAAATTGATTCTATAGTTCAGATGGGAAAATATATAAAAGAGCCAAGGAAATTTGGGTGGAGAGGGGAGAACAAGGAGCAACAAATACCAAAATGTACTACAGGCCCTGGGCGCAGTGGCTCATGCCTGTAATCCCACGACTTTGGGAGGCTACGGCACATAGATCACCTGAAGTCAGGAGTTCGAGACCAGCCTGGCCAACATGGTGAAACCCCGTCTCCACTAAAAAATACAAAAATTAGCAGGGCATTGTGGCGTGTGCCTGTAATCCCAGCTACTCAGGAGGTTGAGGCAGGCAAATCATTTGAACCCGGGAGATGGAGGCTGCAGTGAGTTGAGATCGCGCCATTGTACTCCAGTCTGGGTAACAGAGCAAGACTGTCTGGGAAAAGTATTACAAGTTGAGCACCCCATATCTAAAATCCAAAGTGTTCCCAAATCTGCAACCTTTTCAGTGCTGACATGGCATCCAAAGGAAATGTTCATTGGAGCATTTTGGGTTTTTTGATTTGGGATGCTCTTTCCAAAATTCAAAACAATTTGGTCTCAAGCATTTCTGATAAGGGCTACTTAACCTGGAGAGACATTGCTGCAACACAGATGAACTTATAAACGTTATGCTAAGTGAAAGAAGCCAGCCACTAGTCCAGAATAGGGAAATCTGTAGAGAAAGGGGGCGGGAGTTGGTGCGGAGAGATGAGGTGACTGCTTATGGGTGTCGGTTTTCTTCTTGAGGTGATGAAAATGTTCTAAATTGACTATGGTGACAGCTGCATAATTCTGTGAATATACTAAAAAAATGGAATTGTACACTCCAAATTGGTGAATGGTATATGAATTATATTTCAATAAGGCTAAAAATTTTAAACAACATAATAAATAAAACAGTATTGCATTGATACTCGAATATATTTGGTCCCATACCTCACACTCTGTCCCCAATAAACTATAGACCATATAGAGATCATACTTTTTTTTTTGAGACCGAGTCTTGCTCTGTCACCCAGGCTGGAGTGCAGTGGCATGATCTTGGCTCACTGCAATCTCTGCTTCCCTGGGTTCGATTCTCCACCCTCAGCCTCCTGAGCAGCTGGGATTACAGGCGTGTACCACCATGCCTGGCTAATTTTTGCATTTTTTATTATAGACCGGGTTTCGCCATGTTGGCTAGGGTGGTCTTGAACTCCTCACCTCAGGTGATCCACCTGCCTCTGCCTTCCAAAGTGCTAGGATTACAGGTGTGAGCCACTGTGCCTGGCCTCATACATTTTTTTAAAACCATCAAGGATCTATAAGAAACCTGGGGTAATTAAAAAACAATAATCTTAGCCTGAGGAAGGACTTTCTAAGTATGATGCAAAATCCAAAGGCCATAAAAGGAAACGCTTATAAATCTCACTTCCCAAAGAAAATTCCTCCATGGCAGAATCAAAAACAAAAACCAATTTGGGAAAAACATCTGCAATTCATACCACAGACAGAGGTCTGATTCCATCATATACAAATAGCTTCTACAAATCAATAAAGACAAAAACAACCACCCAATTAAAAGAAAAGGAGCCAAGGAGATAAGTGATTAGTCAAAGGAAAAACAAATAGCACAGACACGAAAAGATATTCAATCTCATTCACATAAAACTGAGTTAAAATTACACCGTAGCCAGGTGCGGTGGCTCACGCCTGTAACCACAGTTGTTCCGAAAGCAGAGGTGGGAGGATGGCGTGAGGCCAGGGGTTTGAGACTAGCCTGGGGAACATAGCTAGACCTTGACTCCCTAAACAAAACAAACCCATGCTGTGATCCTATTTTCACTGCTCAAGTGAGCAAAACCTAAAAGTGTGATATGACGCTGTGATGGTGAGGGGTGGGGAACAGATCCTTCACACCAGAATGTGAGGTGTCCACAGATGCACTATCTAAAGATGTCTATCAGACCACAACTATCAAAATGCCAAATACACACTTTGACCCGATATTTCCACTTCCAGAAATGTCCCCTGCAGTTTTATCCACACTCTCATGACACATACAGGGTTTATTGCTGCACTGCTTGTGATGGCAACAGGTCAGTTACAGTCTGAACAGAGGACTGGCCAGATAAATTATGGGTCATCCCTGCTGGGAAAAACTACGTGGCAAAAGAATGAGGATGCTCTTTAGAAGCTGCCATACAGAATAGATTGCAGAGGGAAAGGGTGAGGTGCAGGACACTGTGAAAAATATGCGTGTCCACACATATTTGCTGGGATGCATAAAACATATGGAAGGACACCCAGGAAGCTGACGACATGAACTCCCTCCGTGAGGGAAGCAGGTGGCTGGCCCAGAGGGAGGCTTTTGTCTGTACACCCCTTCCTTCCTCGGAGTGTTAGATAACATGAATGTGTTACCTTGTCTAAAGATAAGTAAATATTTAAAAGAAAAAATATTTTCAGTGTCAGCATCATGCTAAATGGCAACGGATCCCTGGCTGCAGGACAGAAGCAACAGGGAGGGGTGGAGACTGCAGTGACCCGGAGATGGATATCCCTTTAAAAGAGGCTGTTGTTCAGCTCTAACCATAGCTGCAGTCCAGGCACACAGGCCCATGTTACCAGATCCTGTTTTTGTTTTTGAGATCCTAGAAATCCAGATAAATCCAGATTTTAATGCAAATCTTCATTTCTAAGTACTTTGTTAAAAAAAAAATTATAGTAGCTAAAAATCATCAGATCAGAGCATTTGGGATCCTGGTCCTAGATAGTGAGAACAGACCCCTGGTCACCAGTCCCGGCGAAAAAGCAAGACCAGAGAGAGAAGGAAACACCTAAGACCACACAGCTCAAGGGCCTCAAGCAGAGATCCCATTCTATTTTTTGCTTCCATGTCATCCTACTTTAATGGTGGTGAGCGAGACAGACATGGTGAGACAATGGTGGTGAGGTCACAGAGGCGGGGTTGGGTCATGGTGATGGTGGTGGTCTCACCCAGCAGGAGCTGACCAGACAAAGGAGTGGGTGTCATATTGGGGAGGGAGACCAGGAAGGCAGCACAGCTGGGGCTAAGGCCTGGGGCCCTGAGAGAGCACAGAGGCTTTTCGACAGGGCCATGGTGGGTGGACATCCTGTGGGGTGAATGGCGTTCTCCACCCTCAACCTGCCCTGCAAAGGCTGGGAGGCGTCCTACTCACACTTGCGCAGCTCCAGGCTCTTGCTCGGGCAGGCCAGGTGTTGGCCGGGGGGGTTCTGGGTCCTCTGCAGACAGGCCAGCATGGCTGAGCTGGGGGTCCCCGGTGGGGCGCGCTCTGCGGCAGGGTCCCTGCAGGAGGAAGATGAGGTGCGCTGTCACCTGGGGGCTGCTCCGTGTTTGCCTCCCCGCAGGAGTCTCTCTGCAACCCCAAAGAACATCAGAGACTCTCAAAGCAGATACCCTTTCCCCTTATTCGACCGATGAGGGGACCAAGGCCCGAGGCATCAAGAGGCCCAACTGTGGCCTTGTGGGAAGGGAGAGAATCCAGGCTCTTGAGTGGGGGCCACACCATGACAGGGCAGGACTGACATCAGACATGCCCAGCCCTGCCCAACGTATAGGTCACCTGCTCTGGGGCCTGCCCTGATGTCCCCAGTCCCTCCTCACTCTCTCCGTGCCCTGTAGCAGGCTGTCCTTCCAGCTGGTGGCAGCCCCCTGTAAGCAAGTCAACCTGAAGACCCCACCTGGTCATCTTGGGTGTCTACACAGGGGTGCTTGGGAAACATTGGAGGGTACGTGGGTGTCCCGGGTGACTGAAGTACTGGTCTGCCTCCTGCCCAGTGTATCCTCACAGCCCCCACTGGAGGGGAGATGTCAGGATGGCGTCCCTGGGAGAATGAGGGACGCTTGAACCTTGATCCACGCTGCATCCTGAGCCCAGCACCCATGGGCCACCAAGGCTGCCCTGACCCGAGATCCCTGTCACTGCCTGACCAAGCTCCTTACCCGAATGGGAAGGACTGAGGCCTATGCCCTGCAGGGCAGCAGCTCAGATGTGGCTGCACACAGGCACGTGTGGTACCTTCTCCCACAGCCAGAGGCTGACATTCACACAGACACTCGTCTTCAGCTTCCCCAAATCTACTCTCCTGCAGAGAACGTTCCAGGAGGTGCAGGTACATTCTTGAGAGCCCAGAGGCTCTGAGTGGCAGGGTCAGGGTGGGTCTGCCTGGGAGGCCCCCATAGGAGGGTGGTGGTAAGAGTTTACTTAGAGGTCCCTTCCTCCTTACCTGCTAAGGAGATGGCAGGTCTTGGGGTGAGCTCAACCCCGGACGCCCCTTATGTCCACCACCCAGGTGCCCCATCCCCACCACCTCCCAACTTCCCCCAGTCCTGAGCAGCCAAGCTGAGTCACCTCAATCTTTATGTTGGTTTGAAAAACGGAGAGAAGAAAGCAGAGGGGGGTGTGCTGAAGGGGAAGAAAGGGAAGTTATTTAATACTAAACAGGTGTCTGGAGTCCTAAATTCTGCCGCTTTCTTCTAATAATGAAGTATTCATGAGGAAAAGCCTTTTTTCACTACTTTCTTAAGATACTAATTTCACAACAAGCTCCTTGTTATGGTGCAATTATTCCAATCTTGTATTTCCCGGAGACGGTTGCAGCCTCCCGTCTGTCCTGGCCTCTCGGTAAATGAAAGACAATCGCGTAACCACCTTTCATTATGCCCTATTTTACTTTCAGCAAAGGTACCCTGAAAGAAATGATTTCCTCTGAAAGGGACTTTTATTCAGTTTCAAAACCAATTTTCTCCTATTACTGTCTCAAAAAAAAAAAAAATCGAGAGAGAGAGAGAAAGTGGGGGATGGAGGGGAGGGGAGGAGATTCTCACCACCCCCCTCCCCAATCGCCAGCCTTAACACAGAGACGCAATAAAAGCTGCAGTATCCACTTCCTGGCTTTGATTTCTGGTAATTTTAAAATAGGCCATTACAATCAGGCAGAAATTATACAGTTTAAAAAGGGAATGAAGTGGGGCTTATTGCAGGGATGAAAGTCCTTGACTGTAGGAAGGCAGCACTGCTCCTCTCCTCGGGGACTTGCGACGTGAGCAGGTCGCGGGAGTGGGCCTGACTTGGGCCCGCCATCACTAGTTGTGGACACCAGCCCTGGAGGACACGCTGTGCATGTGGACAGGCAGGGCTGGGCATGCACACACACCCTGGTACACACTCACCTACGTACATATGAGTTTGCTGCGTGGCGTGTTCCTCTGCACTTACGGGTATCCTCTCACACACAGGTGGTCCACGGGGACTCGAAATAGTGTGCAACCTGGAAGGTATAAGGCCCGTGGTAACCTCCCTCACACTGGCCGGCCTCCTTCTGTGCCCCCTGCTCCAGGGCAGGGTCCATCTCTCATGGCTCTGACATAGGGGGTGGGGTAGAGGGGGTAGCTCTGGAGAAAGCCAGCCTGAGACCTCTCCCTCCACAGATGGGAAACCCAAGCCACAGGGGCTGTGGCCTGCCAGGGCCACCAGGCAGGGGAGTGGCTGGGTGCACTCATCCCCTCACTACTGAGCTTGGCTACACTCAGGACAGTAAGGAGGGAAGTCAGAGACTGGTGCCCTGCAGAAACCTGGGCTGGAAGCCCAGAACTTCTCTGACTCCCAGCACATGCTGTATAACCCCAGCTGGGTTCATGACCCTCTCTGGCCTGTAACAGTGGCTCCATGACCCCTATGGGTACACTCAGGTCGCTTTGTTCCAGAGTCCTCCCATGCCCAGTTCTATCTCCAGCCTTTTACCAGGTGCCAGGGGTCCAGAAGCCCAGCCCTTCTCTAGGTGCCCTAGTGCCCCACGGGCCATACATCCTGCATGCTTTGCAGTTGAAAAAGGGCAGGCTGGGGGCTGCAATGGTTGGGGGAGGGGCAGGTTGCCTAATCTGGAGCCTTCTGGGACCCCATCAGCTGCCTTCCCAGCAGGGCTTCAGTTGTCAGAGTGCTCTTATGGTGGATGCCAGGCAGTTCTGGGAGTTGAGAGGGGTCACCTGACTGAGCTCAGGGTGTGGGGGTTTTCAGGGCACAATGGTGTCCAAGTGCAGGCCTCAGCTTTGGCTCAGCTTCACCAGGCAGCTGCCTGCATCCTCCTATTCCTTGCTTCTGGAAGGCTACAGGCAGCCTGAGAGATGCTCTTCACTTACAGAAGAGGGACTTTTTTCTCTCTGCACCCCCCAGTTGTCCCAACTCATTGCCTATTCTCTCAGGAACCCTGTGCCCTGCCGCTGGGGGCACATGGCAGTGTGGTGGGGTGTCCTAGGAGGGAAGTGGGGAGGAGACAGTGAAACATGTCAAGGACAAGGGGACCACCACCTCCAACTCCTATATCATCCCCATCATCTGCAACCAAGACAGTCATATTCTCTCCTTGAGAGACATTCCTCTCCTTGGCCTTAAAACCTCTCTGGCCCCAGAGTAGAGCCCAGCCCTCTGCCCACCAAATCTCATCTCTCTCACAGCTCCCACTGGCCCTCTTTCCAGTCAGGCTGCCTCATACCTCCGGACCCTTCTCTGGACCTTTGTCCCTGCTGGTTCTCCTGCTGATGGCACCATGACCCTAATCCATTTGAACTCAGATCTGTCTTCAGATCCTGGCTCAGCCGTCCCTTCCTCCAGATATCTGCCATCTCCATCTCTGCCCTGATCATACCAAGGTGTAATTGCCAATTTTCACATTGGTCTCTCTCCACTGGACTGGGTTTCTTAGGGGTAGGGACTGTGTCTTATTTGTCTGTCTCTCCCCAGTGTCTGGCAAGAGTAATCACTTAATAAATAGGTGTTGAATGAATGACTGAATCAATGAATTGGTTATTGTCATATAAAGTGGCCTAGGCCCAGAGAAGCCAAGTGTCCCATACAAGGCCACACAGCAAGGCAGAGACAGGATTGGGGCATGCGCCTAAAACACTCATGTTCTTTCTGTGACCTCACCTTGCTCCCTCCCTGCCTGGTGTCATCCCATCGGCAGGAAGCTAGCCTCTCAGAACCCCCACCTGGACTCATCATCTGCTGGCCAAGCTACATCCAGGGAGCACTGCTTATTCTGAAACCCTATCTGCAAATCAGACTGTTTATAAGCTCAAGGTCTTTTGTGACTTTAATAATAAAAAGGGGGGGGCAGGGAGGGGAAAATGTTGCATGCCTCAATGATTAGAATGCTTGGCACCTTCCCTGACATGGGGGCTGATAAGACGCCTTATCTCAGAGACACCCGAGGAAAAGGGCCCCTCCACCAGATAATGCCCCCAGCTGTCGATGTGTCCTTTCATAGCTGAGGATTTAGATAAAGGAAATGTGACAGGGGAGGGGAAAGGAAGGAACTTTCCAGGTCCGAGGAGGAATTGAGTCTGTGATGCTTGCCTCAGCAGAACAATGAATGGGAGAAGGCTGTCTAAAGGCTGTCTATTTTTATTAAAAGAGCAGGGAACTGGGTTCTTGGGCCCTGCCTGCCTTTTGTCATCTTGCCCTCGCCTGTCTGGCTGTAGGGGGCGTCAGGGAGCCCAAAGGCAGTGGGAGGGGAAGCTGGGAAACAGCGACCTGCAATTTGGGCTCTTGACGGTGGTGAGCATGTATTGACTGCCCTCTGTGCCAAGCCCATGTGCCTCCTCCTCGTGGCCTCTGTGGCCCCATTTCACAGCTTAGGAAACGGCCACAGAGAGGGGAAGCAATCTGGGCAAGGTCACACAGCTTTTAGATAGCAGAGCCCAAGGATGCCAACCCCAGTCACACCCTCCACCCCACACTGTACAGCAGCTCCATCATGGTTGGGGGCACGTCAGCTCCCAGCTCCCAGTCAGCTGGCCAGGGAGGGATGGAAGCAAGGGCCTACTTCTGCCCAGGGCCCAAATCCACTTTGATTCTACTGTGGGAGGGGCTGGGATCACAGAAAGAGGGGTGAGAGGAGGGGAAGGGGTGCAAAGAGAAGAAGGGGTGAGGGGGAAGGGCTCCTTGAGGCCACTTACTCATCCCATAAACATTCAAGGAGCGCAACTCTTGAGGCCGGCATTGGGCAGAAGGACATTGAGATGAGTAAAGCCCAGGCCTTGCTTCTTACCTGCCCATTCATTGATTTAGGCAGCAAACACTTCCCAAGCATCTTTTGGGGGCCAGCCCTGCACCATGTACTGGGAGGATGGAAACTGCTCAAAGCGTCCTGCCAGAAGGGAACATCCAGCCAGAACTGACCTCCCACGAAAAATGGGTGTTCCTGACTCCTCTCTGCCTCCAGCGTTTTCCTGATGCAGCAGGTGGCTGGAACGTTCCCTCATGTGTCTGCAGGTCAGCAGTCTGCCCCTTGCCTGGCTGGGCTGACCCCAAGGCAGAATGGGAGGATATACCTGGCTTCACCACAGGGCCCTGAGGCTGTGACCCCAGGAAAGCCACAGGCTGCGCCCCTTTGAGCTCCCATCTTCTCCTCCACCTCTAACTCCTAGAGCTACCAACCTGGCTTCTGTGGCTCTATTCAAGGCCAAATCCTAGCTGTGACCTGGAGGGGAAGGTCATGCCAGGCCCTTCCTGGTGTCCAGCAGGACTGGTTCAGAGAAGAGAGCTGGCCCCAGATGCCTCTGGGCCAGGCACTGGGGTTCTTACTGGCTGGTGATCTGAAGGAAGTCACAGCATTTCTCTGAGTCTGTTTCCCAAATGAACCTTTATAGGGAGTGTACCAGCTGACAGTATGAGCGCCATCAAGCTTGGACATAAAAGGATGTGACCATTTGGTTTTCAAATTTAATGCAGCTGTGTGCAAGGCATTGGGCAGCCTCTGGCCTGTGGGCACACAAAGGGGCTCTAGATGTAGCCCTTGTCTTTGAGGGGCTTAGAATCTTGAGCATAGACAAGATAGGGAGCTGGCAAAATCCAGTAGTCCATGTAAGGAGTAGATGGTTCAGACTCTGAATTCCCTTTTAGGAAGTGAAGGAGATGCCGGCCACTCCTCAGGGCCTTGCAGCCTTTCTGGGGGTGGTGACAGGACAGGCAGATGGTGAGGGAGCTCTCCCACAGTTCTCACCTCCATCCCTCGGCTGGAAATTGAAGTCTCTGCCCGCTGCCTGGCCACACATCCTGCCCCAAACGCAGATAGGAGCCTGAAGTGGTGGTGGGAGGCCCGGGGCCTGGGGAAGAGAATAAGTGCTGGATTGGGAATACTGGGGCCAGACCCTGGTGGGGTGGCCCTGAACAGGTCACTTCTCTGTGTTGGTCCCAGTACCACGAGCTGAGCCAATAGAGTAGAAAGTCTCAGAAAGTCCAGTCCACTCTATCTAGCAAGGGGCAGCAAACCTGCTTCTGGTCAGGATGGAAGAGTGGTGGGACCCTTGCCCAGCCCAGGAATGTCCTCGGGAATCTAGGTGCAAGCTTCCTCCAACCCCCTTTGGAGCTCCCACCAGAGAAGATCTACTGTCTGTCTCTTTCCTCTCCCATCTCATCCCTAATTCCATCTGCCTCCCTGTCCTGATGCTCCTCTTCTCCTCCTTCCTGCTGTCTCTCTTTCTCTCTCCCTTCCTGGCCCCTCTCCCCTACTCCTCCTTCTCTCTCCCACCCCACTTGTCTCAGCAAGGCAGCCAGAGTGGAAGCCCACCCCCACCTCCCTCCTGCCGCTCCCTCCCCCATCCCTGCTCTGAGCCGGAGGCCTTCCAAGGGACCCTGTTAATAATTAAATGTTAATCTAAAAAGCAATTTGAGCTGCGGCTAGGCAGATCTGGTTAGAGATTACATTAGCATGGAGGAGGCGAAGGTAATTTTCTTTAACCCCTCTCCTGATCTCTCAAGCCGGGGATTCTTCAAGTCACACTGGCACTGCTGATTAAACTGGCACAGGGCTTGGCTGTGGATAAGGGGCCTGTGAAAAGTGATTATTTCCCACTGCCATTTGGGCCGAAGCACCAGAAGGGGATTTTTACTTTTATTTTTTAAGATTGGGGGTTGGGGAGGTACTGTCCCCTTGAATAGGAGGCCTCGTCTCCTGCCAGGATTATCACTATATCTGCCCCCAACCCCAGCAGGCCAAGGGGCTCTCTAAAATGCTGCAAACCTGGTCACAGAGCATACCTGGCTCTTTGGTTCCCAGCACAAATATGCCAGTCCCCTGCCTGGCTCCAACACCCCTCCACTGTGCCTGGTTCTGGGCTGGGCACTGGAGCCAGAGATGCCGGTAGTTCTGAGCCAAAGGGGAGACCAAAAAGTAAAATGACAATCACCAATTCTGGGTGGCAGCCAGAGTCCTGAGCTGGGTTTCCCTATGCACAAGCCTCTCACCTGCACGCTTACAGGCCTTTGCCCATGCAATCCCAAAAGCTCTCTACTCCTTACTACTCGACCTTCAATTGGAGTTTGGGTTCCCGAGGGTTTCTCCAAGACATACAAGGTGCATGATAAATGTGTGATGAATCATCGAATGACTGAAATCCCGTGTGGCTCTCCTTGATCCTTCCTCCATGGGTTCACGGTGCTATAGCACAGGGGCCCTCAGAAAAACGTCTCCTGAACAAAGGATGGGCAAGAGGCTATCCTGGAAGTCAGGGCAGAGCAGGCCTCAGAAAGTGTCCTACTGGGACACAGGGCTGGGGTCTGGGGGTAGGTGGCCATGCCTTGGCCTGTCAGCACCACGGCCAGCTCCCAGCTCAGGAGCCCTGGAGAAAGAGGCGGGCACAGCCTGAGAGCTCAGTGATGTCAGTCGCCATGGGAACTGACAACTGCAATATGCCTCTGTCAGCTCTCTGACCACTGGGGACAGCATGGCAGATTAAGCACCAACTGTGTGCTAGGCCAGGCCTTGTGCTAGATGCTGGGGCGGTGACAGACCCTGAGAGGATGGGAGGCATCAGAGGGGTGATTACAAGACAGGGAGACAAGTGGTAGCCATGATGGGGTCACCCTACCTGGCCTGGGGGTGTCAAGATGGAAAGACACACCAGCTGCCTCATAAGCAGAGTGACAGCATGTCTCCCCAACTTCACATCAGGATGTCTGAACTTTATACCTTAACCCTGTGGGCTTGGGCAAATCCCTCCTCCTCTCTGAGCCTCAGTTTTTGTGCCTGCAAGAGGGGTTCCTTCCTTACAAGAAAGTGCCAGGGTCCTTGTGGTACCTGTTGTTAGCTTGGTTTATGGCCATTATCAACAGGTAAGTAGGAAAATGCCTGGGGAAGGGGAGGATCCCACAGAAGGGACTGCACAGGCAACCACATGGAGACTTGAAAGAGAGGAGCAAACAGCATGAAGGAGCTCCAGGCTGCTGGAAGGCAAACCCTCCTGGTGAGTAATTGAGAGCACCCCATCTATGCAGGGCCAGGCAGGGAGCCCCTGAACCTCCCAGTGGGGAGATCTGTTTCCCGTGCACTAGTGCTGCTTCACGGCAGGGACTCAGAGTAGGTGCTGGGAGGAGGGGTAGTCATTGCCACTGGCAACAGGCCTGGCTAGCCCTCTTCCAGAGCCACGAACCTCTGAGGGAGAGTTTCACTCTTCCCTGAGAGCCAGAGATCCTAAGGTACGAAGTTTGGAGTCAGGGGCAGGCTAAGCCTCTGTTCTCCTAGTTTCAGCCTCAGCTCTGTAATGAAAATTGTCAGTCAAGTCTCCATCGTCACCTTCCAGTAAAGAGGGAGTGGGGAGACCTGAGAACTGACACTGAACAGCTTCAGTACTACCATGCCATAATGAGTCTGGGAGCTCAGCTAAAATCCCCTGGCCCAGTTTTTTTTTTTTAAGAGGTGGTCATAGAATCTGGAGAAACATGGAAATGGAGACCAAAAGAGGGAAGGAGGGATGCCATCAGACGACACTGGGATCCCGGAAGACGGAACACTGTGTGCTAGTGGCAAAGGTCAGACCTACAGCGGAGATGTGGGAGGGCCGGGAATCTCCAGCCTTCTTCTCACCTATTCCCCCAGTCCCTGCACCCACAGTTCAGGGTTAAAGGAGGCAAAAGGGAAGGAGAAAAATCTAATAGAGCAATAAATAATAGGAGCTAGTTTTTATTTTTAGTGTCCTCCATGGGCTCAGCACTTTACAGACGTCACCTCACGTAACCCATGCCACAATTGGGAGAAAGCACGATTGCCACGGTACCCACGAGGAACCAGAGAGGAAAAGGAGCTGTCCAGGACCACGGGGCTGGCTGGTTGGTGGAGGAGGCAGGAAAGCCCCGCAAAAAGGTAGGCCTGGGCCAGACAGGGTTTGAGAATTCAGGCCCCAAGGGGCGGGGAGGAAGAAGACCAGGTCCCTGTACAAGAATGGCCTGAGAGTGTTTAAAAGATGGAGTGGCCCAGGTCAGGGGAGGAGAGCAGACAAAAGTGGCTGGCCAGGGCTGGCATTTGCTTTTAGCCCAATGCTAAGATCAACAGATGCTTCTGGGGGTCAGGATGGGGCAGAAATGAGTGGAGACTTCAAGGCAGAGGTTAGGAAACAGGACAGGACACTCGGCCCAAATGATAGTGCCATCACTCCACATCCCAGAGTTCATGAGCTCTCTCAGTGTTTGTTTTATTTAAACCTCCAAGAGTCAAATGCCACTCACCATCCATGTGTGGACCAGTCTCCAGCTTTCCACCTCTGCTGAGAGTGAGGGTAGAGGAGCACCGTGTCTCTAACCCCTTCTATGGTCAGGGAGCTCCCTCCAGGTCACCTGGTCACAGGCACCATGATTTAGAAAGTGCTGAAGCCAGATCACCTGGGTTCAACCCCCTCCCCCATCACAGCCTAGCAGCTGATGGTTAACTCTGGCGAATTTTCTTTTTCTTCTTTGTGCTCCTCTGTATTTCTAATTTTTCCACAATGAACATGCATCACTTCTGTTTTTAAGAACTTTTCAAAAGGGATTTCAACCTCTGACCACCTGGAGACAGACGACTGGCACTCTTTGTAAATGCACTGACATGACAGGGAACAGCTGCTGGGGAGGTGGAGACGGTGCAGGGAGAGACAGGAAGCCCCAGAGGCTTGGAAATCCAGGAGCCACAGGAAGCAGTGAGCTTTGTGCAGAGCTAGATCTGGTGGAGCCAATTCACCAGCAGGTCCTGGCAGTGACTCTTCTACAACGGATTCCCGCCTGTCCCTGTGCCCCATTGCCCCCCTGCCATCAATCTCCGCCTCATGGGAGGTGGACCAAGCCTTTCTGTGTGTAGCTCACCCCTCTCCCTGCTCAGAACTCACCTAGTGGCTTCCACGGCATTTTCTCTTCTTTTTTTTTAAAGCGATGGGACCTTGCTCTGTTGCCCAGGGTGGGGGGCAGTGGTATGATCATGGCTCACTGCAGCTCACCCCTGGGCTCAAGTGATCCTCCTGCCTCAGCCTCTCAAGTAGCTGGGACTACAGTTGTGCACCACCACATCCAGCCAATTATTATTTTTTGTAGACATGGGATCTCATTATGTTGCCTAGGCTGGTCTCGAACTCCTGGCCTCAAGCAATCTTCTCACCTCAGTCTCCCTAATTGCTGGAATTATAGGTATGAGCCATCCCGCCAGGCTTCCATGGCATTTCTAACAGTATCCTTGAAGAACCTGCGTGAATCCCTTTCCCACTGTCTATCTGCACTGTCCCTGTCCTGTGCTAACCCTGCTCAGACACACTGGCTGTCTTTCTGGTCCTCCCACAGGCTAACCAAGGCCCCACCCCAGGGCCTTTCCACTTAGGGTTTTGCCTCTACCTAAATACCCTACATCGATGCTGTCCATAGAAATATGTAATAATGGGAGCCTCATGTGCAATTGGAAATTTTCTAGCAGTAACAGAGGAAATTAAATTTAATATATTTTATTTCACCTAATAGATCCAAAATAGTATCATTTCAATATGTAATCAATATTAAAAAATTCCTAATGAGATATTTTATGTTCTTGTTTTTATTCTAAATCTTTGAAACCTGGGATGGATTTTACGCCAATAGGACATCTCAGTTCAGTTCAGACTTGCCCCACTGCAAATGCTCAATGCCACCTGTGGACAGTGCAACGCCACGCTGCCCCAGTTCACGCCCCTCCCCCACTCTCCACACCAGCTCCACTTCCTCATCACACCTCAGCTCAAACATCCCCTCCTCCGAGAGACCCTCCTTGACTACCTTATCAAGCTGGCAACCTTCTGCCCTGGCCACTGTCCCGTCACCACAGCAATTCTTTCACTGTCATTATTGCTCTGAAATTATCTTGAGGAACAGTTTAGTGTCTGTCTCTTCCACCAGAGTGCAAGTTCTACCGTGTCTGCACACTGGGGCACATAGTAGACACTCAGGGTGGCAGGTGGGATGGAGGTGGGGATGACGGGCCTGGCCTGGGGCCCTTGTCCATCTACCTCATTCCAATTCTACTCTCAGTGATTAGATGCAGCAGTGGAATGTGTGTGTGTGTGTGTGTGTGTGTGTGCGCGCGCACATACACGTGTGGGGGAATGTGTCCTGTGTGTACACACACATACACACACACACACAGCTCCCTCCACCCACCTCCCCTCTTCTGAAAAGTGGGCCCAGAGGATGGGCCTCCTTTCAAAATCAGCCCGGTGCAGAAAAACGGCTGTGACAGCACAAAGCCGAGATTGAATCAGCGATGGGCCCTATTGCCTGGTGACGGTTACAAATGATCTGATGTGGAAAAGATGGGATCAGATGTGTGCAGAACAACGGCTGCTCCGCGCCCCCACATGCCAGACAATGGGCTGCTGGGCAGGCAGGAGGGCAGGTGGTGCCCAGGAGCTCAGGACAGGCTTAGCATGGAGTGGCCCTTCCTGGGACCGGGCGCTGGGCTTGGCTGGGTTCACACATCCACTCACTGAGCACTGCTCCGACAAGGGGGGTCATTTATGCAAGCGGAATCAGACACTCCCTGAATGCCCAGCACCTGGGCAAAGCGTCCCCACATGAGACCAAGTGTTAGTTCTGGGCAGTTAGATGTCGGCTGAATTTTATTTTCTTTGTCAGACTTATTCCAAATACTAAGAGATGAACATGACTTTTTTAATGAGGGGGAAAGAACCTCCTCCCACCCAGCCCCCAGCCTCTGCATTCAGAGCCTCAGAAGCCTGGGAGTGAGGGGGTCATACACAGCTTCATCATGACCACTGGAAGTGGCCCTTGCCCTACCCTCCACCCCAGGGTTTGGGGAAGGGGCGCTCCAGACCTGCATGCTCAACCACCAAGGAATGAATGTCCTCTTACTGTGGTGTGACCACAGCCCTGTGTGAGAAGACTTGTGCTGGAGACTGTGTGGCTTGTCCAAAGTGCACAGCAGTGAGAGGGCTGGGCCTCAGGCCTCACAGACCCCTCTCTGGTCTCTTTCTACTCCAAGGCCAGACACACAGTAGATGCTCTGTAAATCCCATCTGAACAGACAGAGCGCTGCGCTGGGACTTGTATTTCCACACTTCCTCTATGGTCCAGGCTTCCCAGTTCAGGGTCTCTCCCCACTCTTTTCACTGTAGTTTGCCACCTCAACCTGACAAACCGCTCCACACACCCAGAACACCTGGGCCCCAGAGACCCTCAACACGGGCGGGCAGAGGGGCAGAGCTAGCAGCGAGGAGGCAAGAGCCTCCTCCAGGCCCAGTGTCACCCACCAGGCAACACAGCCCCCACCCCAAGGCTGTGTCATGGAGGCTCCAGGGCTAGAGAGCTTCTGGATAAGGGAAAGGGCCTCTCCTGCTGGAAGTCTAGGAAGGAGGTGGCTTCTCAGAGCAGCAATAGTGGCTGGGTGCCACGCCTCACCTCACACGGAGTTGAAGACCATCCCTGAGTGTGAATACATCCACGCCTCCCATTCTCCAGCAGGGGAGAGGCTCCAAGAGGAACAGGATTTGCACCAGGCAGGGTCTGGTTGGGAACAAGGCATGCTGGACTCTAAAGCCCAGGGCATGGCTGTGTCCAGTGTCCCACAAGACCGGCCGCTCTGGGAGTAGGCACTGGGTTACCTCCCCAGCATGCCAAAGGGGTGATCCTGCTGCCAGCTGGGTCACCCATCCCACCACCACCATGGCATCTTAGTAGCCCTCACTCCCCAGACCCATGAGGCACTGTCCCTCTGGCTCCTGACAGGCAGCATCTAGAAGGGGCGAAATAGCACCTCAACTAAGGCAAAATCCAGAACTCAGTTTAAACCCTGCCTCTGCTCTTCACTAGCAGGGCTGTCTTGAGTAAGCCATGAGTCCCTTGAGGACTCGGTTTCTCCATATGAAACACGGAAGTAGAAACCACACCTCCCTCACCAGCCGTAGTGAGGATGAACCGGGTGATGAACACATGCAGCGTAGCACTCATGCACTGCCCACCCAGCTCTCACCCCAGGGGATGACAGTGCCAGGCACAGAGGGGTGAAGGGATTGCCTGTGGTCACACAGCAGCAGCAGGCTGGGGATCCTCGAATATCAGGACCTAAACCCCAATTCCTTCCAGGAGTTTATCCTTTAATGCCAGGGACAAGGCCCCAAATGTGCCTTATAAGTGGGAGGGGATGCTCCAATGGGTGCAGTCGCCAAACCCTGCCTGAGCACCTGTGGTGTGCCAGGCTGCAGGAACCCAGAGAAGAACCAAACACGGCAAAGATGACCAGACGCACACCCATGCAACCCCAATCACAGGTCAGAGGGAGCTTCAGGGGCCTAGAGAAGAGGGGTCCTTCTAAGGACAGGCCACTTCCCAGAGAAGGGAGTATCTGAGCTTGTCTGAGTGCCCCAAGGGCAAGGGCAAAGGCAGCACCTGGCACGGAGCCCAAAGGCACTAACAGGGGCTCAGTGAGTCTGATGAGGCGAGCCTTGTGGCACTAAATGAATGGTGTGGGGTGGAGGAACCCCGCTCTGTGGGCAGGTGCCAGAGGTAGTACCTTGCAAGCAGCCCCACCCCAGTCAGGTCTGGGGACAAGCCGGCTGCTGGGCCTGCTCCTGCATTTTGGTCCGGGTGGGTGCCAGGCCCGGGGAATGGGGGTGGCGGTGTCTTCCAGCCTTGCCGGGGCATGCGCCAGCATGTGCATGCGTGCGCGCGTCTGTGTGTGTTGCTGCAGCGGCTTCTATGCAAACATGTTAATTTGTTTTCATTTTGTGTTTTTTTTTCCCCTCGCAGGATAATTGGGTGAGTTTGAAGTCTTGGCGAGGCTGCTGATTATAGCTATTTGGGTGGTGCCCTCGTGGGGCCTGGGCCCTGCCTCCTCCCTCTAGTGGTGAAGGCGGCGGCTGGGGGTGTCTTGAGGGGCTTGGGGCAATGCCACTGGGTTCCGAGGGCTCTTGCTGATGGGGGATGGGGAAGGCAAGCTGTCCTGAGACTCCCAGCATGCCCCTCACCCAGACAATACAGGCTCATTAAAGGGGGCAAATCTGCCCACACCTTTTTTCTTTGCCCGGTTCACTGCATTTTAAAAACTGATTTATTTGCCAATGTCCAAAGGAAAAATAAAAACTAGAATTCTACCTACAATTTTTATTGTCTGCTTTCTCTTGGGGAAAAACTCGAACTTGGCCATTCTGGAAGCCCTGAGCTGATGTGTCCTGAAGCTGGCTGCAGTGGCTTTGCTCCTCCTGTTACCTGCGTGGCCCTCGGGTACCTGAGTTTTCCACCCTGGAGAAGGGAATGGGGCTTTGAGTTGGGATGTCCAAGGCGCCCTTGGCAGCCGTGTGACCTGTCAGTACCTGGCTGTCTGAGCCTCTTTTTTCACCTGTAACCCCGCTGCCTTGCCCTGGGAGAACTGAAAGGAGACGGCAAGTTTTCAGGAACATAGTAGGGGGTCGGTTAGTATTAGAGATGGGATGGGGACTCCCTGCTCTGTGGGTGTCTCGCCTTGACTCCATCCTTGGATGTGTAGCCGTGTCACTGACCTGTTTGTGTCCATCTCTCCCGCTAGGTGGGGACCAGGTCTCTGAGGGCTGGACCACATCTTTGGTTCAGACTTCACTGAATGCCTACCATGTGCCACACTGTGCATGAAGAGGTGGGAGAAAGGTGAAAAGGGCTTGGGTGGGGCTCTGGAGGAGGAAAGCAGGTACCAGACCCTTAGCACCACAGAGAAGTCACATGTGTGTGTGCTGGAGGCCTGCTGGACTCTAAAGCCCAGGGCATGGCTGTGCTGTGCAAGGACTGGATTCCTAGTGGGCACCCAGTGTCCCACAGGACTGGCCATGAGGGTACACCTGGCAGATGCCCCAGTCTGAGCAAAGGCACTGAGGAAGGCATGGCCTGGCAGGTGCAAGCTCATCCCATGTGGCTGGGATTTGCTGCAGGAGGCCGACTGGCCTTTGCGGGCATCCTGCATGGCTCTGCTCTCCTACGGGACTGGGCTCAGAAAAGGGACTCTGTGTCTACAGTGGACTGCTGCTCACTAGGCTAAATGGGGATCAGGAAGAGACTAAGGGCTGGGCCTCACTAGAAGCCACAGTCTCCATGTTGTGTCCTTGGGACCCTGGGACCCCTGATGAGTCATCTTAGCTCTCTCATCACACTGCTTATATGTAAGGTGCGGCTGTGGCAGGGACCCAATGCACAGTCCTTGGTGCATGCATATGCTCCTGAGAGGGACCTCAGCACCCGCCACCCACCCACTGCTGTAGCTTATACTCTCCCACTCCCAGGAGGCAGCAGGAGTGCCAAGAAATGCCAGCCTACACCTGCACGGCCTGAGGGTGCTCAGGCACCAAGCTCACACTTTGCCCATGTCCTGGGACTACATCCCCCAGTGGCCCTTGGGAGGGTTCTCTTTCATTTCCATTTCCCAGCTAAGGAGATCGAGGCTCGGAGTGGGTTGAACAGGTATGGTAGCCCTCAACAGGGCCCTGGGCTTGTTCATGAATGCCCTGCAGACACTAGCCCAGAGTCTGGCTGTGATTGAGGGACGGGCGGACACCCAGTGCC